TGTCTATCATTGCTTATTTTAGTAAAATTACGATTTCTTGGTTCTTATATGTTTTGCTATCTTTCTTTAAATATCTCAAAATTTTACTAAGCAAAGTGGTATAGTTCCTAAGCTAAAATTAATCTGTGTGAAGAATTACACATAAAAACATTATTAACTCAAAATCGAGATTTTGCTGTTTGGTCCCTTTCTATTTTCCGCGCCCCATATGTGCTAAAGGTAGTGGCACCTATCCTGGATGTTGTGTTCTCCGATGTTTCAAGCATGATTAATCTTCGTTGGTAAGCATGAGTTGATTTCAGTATACCTATTTACCTATCCATCACCTTTTAACATCTGATTGTATGAAATATAGGGGTGAAACAATATCAAAGGCCACAAAATGCTGAAAAATTGACTTAAGAATTGAATGCAGAGTCCAAGGTATGGAAGTTGTGGAATTAAGTCATTCTGAGGCTGCACCAAGTGCAACACCTGCAAAAGCTGTAAGAGATTGTAGTAAATGTTATAGAACCAATCAATGCATACTTAATGAATTATTGAGACAAAATATATCAGATGAAGGAGCTAATGATTCAATAATTTTTGGATTTCAGTTTTCAGGTGAGTTTCCTTCTTCAATATCTCATTTAACTACATTGATTATTATTGGTATTCACTGTTCCTCATTACTTTTAGCTTTATCTGGTCAGCTCATTGGCATTGACTTGGTTGATGATGGTCTCTATTTTGGTGTTGGAGGTCCTTCTTTTTGTTTCCCATCACAATTATTACAATTGAAATCATTACAGCATGCATTGGAGGTTATTTATTTTTTTAAGGTAAATGAGCATTTTGTCATTACTGAATATTCCCTTGAGGTGATTGGCAGCTGAATTGCTTATTTTAATCTTTTGTAATGGTCAGGATAATATTATGCACAAAGTAGAATTGTTGTCTATTGAAGAACATCATCCATACAAGAAAATCTTTGGCAATAAGAAAAAGTCAAAGCCAACACATAAAAAACTTGCATTCATTTGGTCAACTCATTTCACTCCAAAGAATAGAAAAAATCAGCATTTGTAAGAAGAGATAATGGTGTATGATAAGTTATGAATCAAGTTCTTGCATTTTTATTGACTGATAATTAAATCATTTTATTAATCATTAATTGATTTTACATATAAATATTATACCTATTATAACAACAAAAAATAATAATAATTGATAATCAACTTCTAAATTATCCATTTTTTTTAAAATAGGTAATTTTATATTTTAGGAAAAAATTTAGCATCATTAGAATGATAAAATACTAAAGGTTGGATTTTTAAAATGAAGTATACATACCACTTTAAAATATGTAAATTTTTAGTTTCATAAAGATTTATGCATTCAAAAAAATTTATAAAATTTGATTCCTGAAATATAATGTTCACTTTGTCTGGTTTTGTTGCAGTATGCCCCATATGTAGGCTTTAGAGCAATTATTACATGTTGTATTGTTTTTTTTCAAAATAATCAAATACCTTTTATTTCCAATTGACAAAATTTTAGAAAATCTAAAAGTGTGAAGATTTATATACATAATCTCTGGAACTTTTATTACTAACTGGTATGATTTATTATTAAAAAATTCTGTTTAGAATTTCAGAGACAAAAAAAAGATATGAATTAGCTTTACAGAAAATTGGCATGTCCATTTTTTATTATTAACAGTAATTTGATAATTTAATTATGTTATGTGATTGTTGAGTTTTCTTAATACATTGTACTTACTACCTATACTCAAATCCTTAAAATCCCATCCCACACCCCATTAATAAAAATGACAAAAATGTATTGTATTTATTAAGACAATTAAAAGAGAAATAAAAAGAACCATTTTTTAAAGTTCAAACGATTTCTATGGTAATGGTGCATAACCATTATTTTATAATAATAAAATAATTTCCCTCGTGGTCCTTTTATATAGTAATGATAGTAATAAATAAGGGTCATCCTATATACAGAAAGGTTCTTTTTATGAAATATACAGAACCTACGTGACAAATAAGAATTTATTT